GCCATCTGGAACTATTTTGGATACAAAAAGGTTCTTCTCTTCTTCATTCACAGATGAACCCCCTTATTTGAGGGTAAGCAACATGCATTATCATGACATGTTAGATCATGACTTAAGGTACGATGAGTCAACCAGTTAAGATCCAGACGTCCGTGACTAAAATCCTTCATCCGGTTAAATATAGTTAAAAGAAACGCAATATATATCGCAGGGGGAAAAAATATCGCAATGTCAGTTTTTTTCAATATCGTGCAGAGCTAATTTAAATATCGTTTTAAAATTGCAATATTAACATTATGAATGAAACATAGAAAGTGTTCAATGGAGTTTGAACAAATCTATACAGTCATCTATTCAATGAGGAAATATTTTCAAATCAGTTATATCTTTACCAATTGTGTAAAATGAATATACACTTTGATCCCCTCTTGTTTTTGTACTTTAATTTAGTATCTTCTGCTTCCGTTCCTTACACAACTATAAAACAAAGGGGGGGGGGGTTGTGTGAAGCTGACAGCTGGTGATGTTCAGAGCAGCCGACAAATTGACCGCTGTCTCAGTCAGTACTTCTCACTTGTTACTGTCAATTGGGCATCATACACTAACAGACGCAAGGTATATCTGGAGTCATCAGCACTCCTGTTGCCTAGCAGCACCACCAGTTGCAGATAGGAGAATGGGTTAAAAATATAATGCAGTGAACGGCATCAAGCCGGCGAGGCGTGCTCCAAATTCTGATATTTACGCAAGCAAAGGAATGTGCCGGTGGCCTTTACATAAGATAAGACGGGTTATGGTCGCATTGGCCGGTTGTAAGTATTTAAACTCATTAGGTACGTGTCATTTGCTCGACGCAGAAACAAGACTCACGTTGTCACGCTGGTGGCTGACAGATGTTCTTCCTGTCTCTCTTTCCGTCTGTAGGCAAGAACTGGGATTTCACTGCTGCCCTCAGTGACTTTGAACAGCTACGACAGGTGCATGCTGGGAACCTGATGTATTCATTCACAGAGGACAGGACGTATCTGCAACCCGAAAAGGAGATGGCCAGGGTAGGGCGGCCAATACTCCACCGCCAGGATGAGGTGGTGCAAGGTGAGTCAAATGAGATTTCTTTTAAGTAGTAGTATTTAAGGATTCAAGGCTTTTATTGTCATACGTACATAGCTACAGTGTAGTTATGTCGATGAAAGTCTTAGGTCACAGTGCAACACAGTAAAACGGATAAAATAGTGCAAGTAAATACAATAAAATAGAACCAGTTTTAAAGTGCTGAGGTCAGTAAGGAATGTTGAAGGAGGGTGCACGCTGGTATAACGCGACAAAAGCAAGCTCAGAAAATCATCACAATGTTAAAAAGTTACTTTCTGACTTTTAATGGTTAAACATTTGAACACTTTGTGAGTATTTGTGCAACAACATGGCCAACTGCTCCACTTGCTTAGAGCACTTCACATTGATTTAATCAGCAGACAAGAGGTGGTGCATTTTTAAAGAGCAGAACCAATTAAAAGCAACAATGAAAGATTTTAGCGCATGTAGTAGCCATATGTTAAAATGTATATTTGAATATTATAATCCTTTGTTATTAGTGCTATCACATCATTTATTTGAACCAGCCGTGTGAAATTGACGGCATAGACGACCGCAGCTGTACGTGATTACGAGACGTTATAGCCAACGGCAGCTGCTGGTGATTGGGGTGTGAGAAGGAGAAAGAAGCACAGAGCAACATAGTTTTTTGACCTGAGAGAATATGTGTTTGTATTTGATACCTTTTGTGTAAGTAAAAAACAAACTATCCTGAGACTTATTTTGTCCGAGTCAAGCTTATTTGCTATGAGCCGAATTTTGGATTACTGGAACTACATTTGTCAAAAAAACTACTGGAGAAATACCTTTATTATTATTAATACCTTATTCCAAGGCCACAAGTGAAAAATACTGAGCTCTTCCCCGTGAACAAAGTCAAAAACAAACAAGGATCCCACTAAGACTAACAGGAAAAAACGAACCTAAATGCATACAGGACTAATCAAAGACTAATCAAAGAAACAAGACACAGGTGAGGAGGGGGGAGAAAACACAGGGGCACCAGGTGAACACAAT